AAATAAAATTCTCTACAAAATTTGTTTATAAAAAAAAGCCAATAAAAAAAAAAAAAAAATTTTTTAAAACTACGCTAAACTTAAAACATGTGACCAACAATATATCAACCCTGTGCTGACAAAGAAACTAATTTTTGACAAAGATAAAATTATCGAGCATAGTTGGATTAAATCAAACACAGTTGGACAAAAATATCAAGCACAGACGGACAAAAATATCAAGCACAGACGGACAAAAATATCAAGCACAGATGGATAAAAACATAAAGCATGGACGGATAAAAATGTCAAGCAATGGTCGGATAAAACCATCAAGCACGTACAGATAAAACCATCAAGCACATACAGATAAATATCAAGCACGTACAGATAAACATCAAACACGTACAGATAAAAATATCAAGCACATACAGATAAATATCAAGCACGGGACAGATGAAAATCAAGCATAAACAGGTAAAATGTCAGACACGGAGTGACATTTTGTCTAGCCATGCTTGATATTTTATCACGCAATGTCTGATAATTTTGTCCAACTCGGCTTGCCATATATCTGATCTAGACTGAACAGGACTAATGTTTGATCGACGTTTCACACAACTAAATAAATTTAAACAAAGAAATTTGAAAATTTTGTCAATTTACTTGACTAAAAATTTTACAATACCTTAGAAAATGACTTTTGAGTTTCCTCAAGAAGTTAGTGGTGATTATGAAAAATTACTTAAAATTGAGAAAGGACATGATGTGATTATATATGCTGGTGAAAATGAAAATTTGAAAGAAATACGTGCGCATTCACTCATCTTATGTGCTAGGTCTCAGTATTTTTGTGCGGCATTCTACAATGATTGGGTCGAGAAGAAGAATGGAATTTGTATCTTTAAAAAGCCTAACATTTCTTTTCAACTATTCGAGATTATTTTAAGGTAATTTAATGAACTAATATTATTTAAATTATTTAATGCGGAAAAAATTTATTAAAGCTTTTATTTTTTTAATATTTAAGATTTATTTATTGTGGAAAAGTTGATATAACAAATTTTAAAGGTCCAGAACTGTTAAAACTTTTAATTGCAGTAGATGAACTTAATATTCAAACATTGGTTACTTGTGTTCAAAAACATTTAATCAATGATAAAAAGTTATTACAAGAGAATTTTATGGAGATTCTTCAAATAGTTTATCATAATGAATTATTCATGGAATTATTCAATTATTGTCTTGAAGAAATTGATACGATATTTAATTCTGATAAAATTTTTAATTTAGAAGCACCTTTATTGGAATTTCTTTTAAAACAAGATAATTTAAATTTAGATGAGATTGAAATTTGGGATGGTTTAATCAAATGGGGATTAGCACAAGAAAAACTTAATCGAGACACCTCTAAATGGAACAAGAATGATATAATCATTTTAAAAAGAATTCTCTATAAATTTATTCCCTTAATTAGATTTTATGTAATACCTTCTGAAGATTATATTAACAAAGTTAAACCCTATGAAGAGGTTTTATCTAAAGAATTGCGAGAAGAAATATTAAAATTTCACTTGAATCCCGAATATAAACCAACACTCGACATTTTACCAAGACGTTTTATTGATTCTACTTTAATTAATCGAAAACATATCAAACTTTTTACAAATTGGATTGACATGAGAGATAATAACACAAATTACAATGGAATTCCTTATAAATTTAATCTTTTATATAGAGCTAGCAGAGATGGCAATACAGCTGCAGCATTTCATGCTAAATGTGATAACCAAGGACCTACTATAGTTGTTGCAAAAATTACAAATTCAGAACAAATAGTTGGAGGTTATAATCCACTTTTTTGGGATTCAAGTAATAAAGATAGATCGACAAAAGATAGTTTTATATTCTCATTGTCAGATAAAAATAACCTTCTGAGTGTAAATGTAGCTTACAGTGATAATAGTAAATATTCTGTACGAGGTTATTCACGTTGTGGTCCAGTATTCGGTTGTGGTGATTTATATTTAAATTTTTGTGCACTAGGTCCTAATGTTTGGGGTAGTACTTGTAAAAGATGCTATCCTACACTTAATTTAACAAGTAGTATGAATGTAGATGATTATGAAGTATTTCAAGTTATTAAAAAATAATCAGATTGATTATATGTATGTACCACAAACGTTAGTGTGTGCCCCAAGTAGGTCAAAAAACTAAGTTCAAATGTAATTTAGGTTATTTATTGTTTTTACTAATTGTTAAGCTTCAAATATAGGACAAGTATGTAGTTGTTTATTGCATTGTCAACCGCAAAAATTTCGCTACTGCATTAGTAAATGAAAACGTAAAGCTATTATACGTAGAGACTTACTACTAGTACCACATGTATGAATCTTATTTCATATTCCGTATTATAGCTCTATATAGATGGTTAAATCCATTGTGAATACTTTCAATATCCTTTCTACTAATCGCAAAAAAGCGTAAAATGTCTATAATAGAATTATATTTTTATTTGTATTCAGGAGTGAATCAAATAGAAGTGAATTAAGTAAAACTATAAAATACTGTAAATATTTCATAATCGATCATAATACTTTTTTACTAGGAAATTATAAAATCAAACAAATTCGTAAAGAATATTTTATTTAATTTCTATTAGAACAGATCCTATCCTAACATAATTTTTGTAAATTAATAACAAAAATAGCTTGAAGAATTTCTGATTGCTTATTTGTAAGAAGTGTTGATAACTATTAATAGTAGAAATAAACAGTTATAAATCCGAATTTAAGGCACCAGAAATATTAATATTGTCAAGTATATATAAAGTTTTAAACTTATCCAATTATAAAAAATGAAAATTTAGTAATATACCTACTTACATAAGAAAACATACAAGCTTGATAAAAAATATTTATATTTTTGTCTTTTTCTCGATATTTTTAACGAACATTTTATCAAATCTAAAGATTTTAATTTAAAAGTAACCATTTAAGTAAATGATAATAAATTACTTAAAATAGATAAAAAAAAATTGATAGAACTTTTATTAATTTAACTTTTTACAAACAAACTTAACAATTAGCAAAAAACATTTTGGTTCTTGTACTTTTGAAATTATTTTAATAAAATAACCTAAATTACATTTAAACTTAGTTTTTAACCTACTACTTGGTGTACACACTAACGTTTGTGGTACATATAATCAATCTGATTATTTTTTAATAACTTGAAATACTTCATAATCATCTACATCCATACTATTCGTTAAATTAAGTGTAGGATAGCAGTTTCCACAACCACGATGCCAAACATTAGGACCTTTACTAAAATCTAAATATAAATCACCACAACCGAATACTGGGCCACAATGGGATAAACACTGTATGGAATGGTTACCGCCATTACTGTAAGTTACATTTACGCTCTGAAGGTCATTTTTATCTGAAAATGAGAATATAAAACTATCTCTTGTAAGTTTACTACCATTTGAATCCCAAAAAAGTGGATTATACCCTCCAACTATTTGTTCTGAATTTGTAATTTTTACTACAACTATAGTAGCTCCTTTGTTATCACATTTAGCATGAAATGCTGCAGCTGTATTTCCATCTCTGCTAGCTCTATATAAAAGATTAAATTCATAAGGAATATTCTTATCATTCTTTTCTTTTCTATCAATCCAATTTGCAAAAAGCGTAATGTGTTTCAAATTAATAATATTAGAATCAACATTATAATTAGGGCGCCTTGGTGTATATACTGGTTTATATCCAGGAATTAAATAAAATTTTAAGATATCATCTTTTAATTCTTTAGATAAAATATCTTCAAAGGGTTTAACTTTATTGAAGTAATCCTCACCAGATATTTCATAAAATCTAATCAAAGGAATAAACTTGTAAAGAATCCTTTTAAAGATATTAAAATCGTCTTGGTTCCATTTAGAGACGTCTTTTTTAAGTGTTTGATCTTGTACTAATCCCCATTTAATCAAATTTTCCCAAATTTCTATCTCATTTAAATTTAAATTATCTCGTTTTAAAATAACTTCCAATAAAGGAGCAGATAGTTGAGCGAATTTATCAGAATTGAATAAAATCTCTGGTTCAGAACAAATCTTATCCAAACAAAATTCTTGTAACTTAGCCAGTGATTTATAATAATAAACAATCTTAAGAATTCCAACTGGATCATTTTGCAAGAATTGTTGTTGGTTTTCAATAATAAAGTCTTCAGTAAGTTCAGTTAATTTTGTCAACATTAGGTCATTGGAAATAATCATAAAATCCAATAGTTCGGTTCCAGTTTTATTAGCAATATTAACTTGACCGGTATAAAAATACCTAAAAAAAAATACGAAGATAAATAAGTCAATATGTAAATTGAAAATTTTAGTAATATAGACAGTACCTACTTAAGAATAATGTCAAAAGCTTGAGGAGAAATATTTGGTTTTTTAATTACATATTTTCCATCTTTTTTCTCAACATTTTCAGCAGTTACTAATATTTTATTAAAATATTCGGATCTACAGCGTAGGATAATAGAATGAGCATGGAATTCCTTAAAATTAGGTTTTTCTCCAACGTGAATAATGACATTATAATCCATTTCTGTGCTGAGTAATTGACCGAATGCATCGGGTAATTCAGACGCTAAATTAAATGTCATATTTCTCTAAATATAATTTTTAAACATAAATTTTTTTTACGTTAAAGAATGAATTTTTTTTTTTTTTTTTTTTTTTGGAGATCCGTATTAAATAAAGTTAAACCACGGACAAATTACTCCGAACCAATCAGAGAAAGATATAATACTGCGCAAGACTCATCATAAATTTTAATAATAAAATCGTCGAACAATGATTTTATTACCAAATTTATATGATACGTACAATTAAACAATATGTGGTTTTCGGGCCAGCTATATTAAATTGTATTTCTTTGAAAAATTATTAAATTTAAACGTAATAACCTCACCTTTAATTACTATGTTTCCAAGCCAATAAACTTTAATGAATTTTTTCGTTTATAATTCTACAATACTTATTGTCCAGTCGCGTTTATGAATTATTGATCTAAAAACCAAATTTTAAACGAGTTATAAAGAAGTTTATTTTAGTAGTCTAGAATTTTTTTCTGGATAAGTAGTTTAAACAGTTTAACTAACGTTAAAATTATTACGTTTTTCATAAATACTGTATATAAAGAAAGACGCTAAAACGTAGCGAAAGTATCACGGAAGACGGAAGAAAATCTACAATAGTTTATTAACAAAATAAACATATTATATAACATTATATAACCAAACGAAATTTAAAATAATCTATTATATGTAAAAAAAAAAAAATTTCTAATATGATTTCTAAAATATAAAAACATTACATTCAAAGTAATTCTTTTTTAATAATTTGAAAAATTTCGTAATCATCTACTTTAAATTGACCTTTTGGTATATTAATTTGAGAATAAGAATAAGGATTATTTCCCAACCAAATACCATAATTTTGACAAACAAAATCATGACCACCACCAAATGTAGGTCCATAACCACAATAACAAAATATTGAATGTTGAGGATTTTTTATTCGTCCTAATTTAGCAGTTTTTATATTATTATTATTAGTAGTAATAGAAAAAATAAAACTTTCTGAACTAGATTTATAAATATCACTACAATCCCAATTTAATGGAGTATAACCACCAAATAAATGTTCCTTATCTTTAATTTTTGCTATCATTAATGTTGGACCTTTGTTATCACAATGTTCATGAAATGATGCAACATCCGATCCATCATAACTATCTTGACTATTTCTATATAAAAGATTAAACCTATAAGAATATTTCTTTGTATCCTTTAATTCAATCCATCCCGCTAAAATCTTTAAATTTTCTTCATTTATTAGCGTTGAATTTAAAGTGAAACGCTTCGGATTTCTTGATGGAGGAATTTCAACATTCGGTTTAGCATCAGATACCATATGAATTTTTAAAATATCCAAAAATAATTCAGAAGGTAATAAATCTCTATATGGAACAACTGATTTATAAAATTCTTCAGATGTCATATCATAAAATCTAATTAAAGGTATAAATTTATGTAATATTTGTTTCATATTATTAAAATCATTTTGAGTCCATTTTGAAACATCATTATCAATTGTTTCATCACGTGAAAGTCCCCATTTTATTATTTTATTCCAAATAATTGTCTCATCCAATAATAAATCATTCCTTTTTAAAAGAGATTCTAATAATGTTTCTGATAATTTGAAAAAATCCGGGGATTCAAAAATTACTGCCGGTTCTTCAAATAATGCATCCAATGAAAAATTCCATAATTCTGTAAACGTTTCATGTTGATAAATCAATTTTAAAATTTCAATTGAATCATTTTTAAGGAATTCACTTTGATGTTTAATCAAAAATTCTTGAGTATATTTTGTAAGTTTATCTAATCCAAGTTCATCTGAAGCTATTAATAATTTTAATATTTCAGATCCTTTCAATTCAAATAAATTAATTGTCCCATAATAAACAAATCTGAAAATTAGATAAAAATAGATAGAAATAAATAAATAAATAAATAATAGTATTAAAAATAATATTTAAATTTTTTTTTTTTACCTTAGAATAATTTCAAAAATATCTGGTAATATATTAGATTTCCTTAAAATAAATATACCATCTTTTTTTTCGGCCCAATTCGATGAAAATGCTGCTCGAAAATATTCAGACCTACAACAAAGTATAATAGAATGTGCGTAAAGTTCTATATTATCTTCTCCTGTATATATAATAACATCATAATTTTCTTTATTTTCGTATAATTGTTGATAATCTTTAATTAAATCCCCCCATAATGTTATTGCCATACCGTAAAAAAGAATTGTAATATTTTATGAAAAAAAAAACGGCTTATCGAAATTTTAATGCAAAAAAATTTATATATTACAACAAACAATTCGCAAAAACTTTATTCCTTTTTCCGAGTCTTACCAGAATTAGATAAAATCTATTACCGATCGAAAATTCTGGTGTTGATCAATGACGAAATATTTAGTAAGCGCTCATTTGTTGAAAATTTATTATCATGTGAATTGTAATTCTGCGAAACTTTAGCGACTACGCCACTATCGTGTCCTTTGTTTAGTAGTAGTACAGACTAGAGTTAAACAATCATTGTACGTAGTGTTTCGGGCGAAACCGAAACTTAATATCTGGAGAAACTTCCGAAACTTGGTGAAACTGGTTTCAAAATTTTGAAACCTGGCGAAATTTCCGAAACTTAAATAAGTCACGGGTTAAATTTTTAATTGGCTATAAAGTACTTTAAACTCTAGCATCTGTATTTAGAAGTAAGGTAGGATTTTGTACAATTTCCATTTTGACACTTGCTACCAAATGTCAACTTCAATGTGATTGTAAATAATTAACTACAGTCAAACGCTATGCGCCGATAATTGCACGTACCGATAAACTTCCATGTCCCATTTCACAATTAATAAAAAAATCACATTGTACCGATATTATACAATAAATATTTGGCCAGCATTGGTTGAAGTTATAAAATTTAAAATGAATTTTACGCCATCTTGAATTAGATTTTGGCCTAGCATAAATTATACGATTTTGACAGGTTGAATACTATATTAGCATAGAATATGAAACATATTTAACAACTAATTACATTTCGCCAGGTTTCGGCAGTTTCGGAATAGCCGAAACCGAAACTCAAAATGGGTGAAACGTTTCGCCAATCGCAAAACAGTTTCGCCCGAAACATTAGTCATAAAAAAAAAGGTGATCAAGNAAAAAAAAAAAAAAAAAAAATCTAGTCTATTCAATTTATTAATTATATTATTTTATAAACAATCTAATTTAACATAATCTATTTTAATCTAAATAATGTAATAATGATAATATATATTATAATCTAATAATGTAATAATGATTCTATTCTCTAATTACTTGAAATACTTCATAACTATCTACATCAAACTTACTTGGAATATTTAGATTAGGATAAGAAGTTGGAGTTGCAAACCATTCACCATTTGATCGCATCATTAAATCATTACTCTCCGTCACTTTATTATAAGCGCCAAAGATTGGTCCCCATCTTCTGAAGCATCGTACAGCGCGTTTATTATGAATTACTCTACCAATTTTACCTGAATTAACATTTTTATAATCATCAAATGAAAATATGAAACTATCTGATGTCGATTTACTACCCTTTCCTTGCCAATCTAATGGATTATATCCACCCACTAATTTATTTGAATTTTTAATTTTTGCGATTACAATTGTTGCACCTTTACCATCACATCTAAAATGAAATCTATCACCGCTAATTTGACTTTTACCTTTAATGTGTAAAATAGGTTTAAAATCGTATTGAATGAATTCTCTAGTCTTATAAATCATATCCCTCTTATTTATCCAATTTAAAAATAATGAATAATAGAGATCTTTTTGTTTAGTAATAATATTAGATTTAAGTTTAGGTGTTTTTGGACTTGAAATGGAGTATAATTGCAAGATATTTTCCGATAATAATTTCTTATAAGGATGTACCTTGTCGAAAAAATCTTTAGATGGAATATTACGAAATTTGATTAATGAGATCAAATTACCCATTGTTTGTTTCATAACTTCAAAATCAATATTAGTCCATATTAAAGGATTATCTCCAATAGTAGGATTTTGTGCATGAGACCATTTAATTAGATAATCCCAAATATCCACTTCATCTAATGTGATGTTATCCTGTTTAAACAATAATTCTAATATTTGTGGAGGTAAAGTTAAAAATCTTTCGCTCTCAAATAACTCTCCCGCTTTTTGACAGATTAATTTTACAAGAAAATCCCTTAGAGGTATGAACTGTTTATAAGGAAAAATAAGTTGAAGTATTCCTATTGGATCTTGTTTTAAGTACTCATTTTGATTTTTAATTAAATAATCTTGAAGACTATCAACGATTCTATCAAATATGAGCTCATCTGCCGCTTTTAATAATTCCAAATACTCCGTTTTTTCAATTTGACTATAATTAATTCTTCCACTATAAATATATCTATTTTTTTTTGTAATAAAAATTTATATAAAAACGTATAAAAACGTAAGTTTTTATAAGATTATCGATAAATTCTAAAAAATTATAATAATTTATAGTAATAATTGACATGATAATTACCTGAGGATTATTTGAAAAGTTGTTCCGGAAATATTTGGTTTCTTTAAAATATACGTCCCATCACTTTTTTTGGCCCAATTAGGACTAAACGCTGCCCTAAAATATTGTGAACGACATCTTAAAATAATTGAATGGGCGTGAAGTTCTTTAATATTAGGTTCTTCTCCCGCATAAATTATAACATTATAATCCTCTTCGGAAAATTGTTGAAAATCATTGGTTATATCTTCTTTATAAATATCCACCATTATGAAAATTTTTTTTTTTTTAAAAAAAACAAAAAGGAAAAAAAGAGAAAAAAAATTCTATTTAATTAAAATATGAAAAAAAAAATTAATTGCTATTAATTATAAGTTTGTGATTCTTCTAATGGTAAATATATAATTGACAATAAAATTATTCTTTAAGGCTGAAATATTTCCGCCTTATTTATATGTTTAGACAAAGAAATTCTTCGCTTAGTCTTCTTTGTTTTTCCATGATAAATAAGGAAATTTTCGAATGGGAAAATTTTCGTTTTCGTTGTTATTGTACGTAAAACGTATGAGGCGTAGGATTACATCATTTTGTCACGTGAAACCCCCAAAAACCTACAAAGCTAACAAAAAAAAAGGGATTTTTTAACACATAGACCGATAGTAAATTAATAATGAATGATTCCATCAAAGCATAATTGTTTTAATAATTAGATGGCGGAATCCATGAAAGGAGTATGAAAGCTTTATTCTTCTTTTTTGTGCTACTGTACGTGACTTTATATGATTATTTTATTATATTTATTATACAAAAATATCCGGTTTTTGTTATCTTAAAATTTCAACTAATTATTTTACTATTAATTTTTTTTTTCTTTCTTTTTTTTTAACAAAAAAAAATTTGTAAATAAATAAATTACATTAATATTACTAAATTAGAAAAATTCACAAACTTCGATTATCCACGTTTTTCGGAATCCGAATTTCTCCCCCTGCATCATTGTCATAATTTTAATTTATTACGTTTTTATAAAGTAACTAAAATTATTGTCAAAATAGCAATTTATTAACAAAGGTGTCAATTCAAAAAATGTCTTTGTTATACGATCTTATAATATATTGTACGACAACATCTTTGTTTACAGTTATCGGCAAAATGCGAAATCTATTTGGCGCAGTTAAATAACTATCCAATGAAGTTGAAACACATAAAAAAAATACTTAAAAATAAAAATTACACATATTATATATTTTTTTATTATTATAATAGAAATATTTATGTTCATGTGATCATGTAATGATTTAGTAATAAAAAAAATAAAAAATTTTAATTACCATATTTACCGTCTTTATTTAGAGTTTGAATTTTATACGCAGGTGCGTAGCAACGCACCCCCTATATTATGTTTATATGTAAAAGTCAAAAATTAGTATTCTAAACCCTTTTTAGTAAGTTGTAGAGTTGTGGAGCAGGCAAAAATACGCATAGGACGTGTACTTTAAAGGTTCTATAATAAGTACATAAGGTTTGCACCGCGCTTATTTACATTTATGATATCACGTGATCATAAATGATCGGCAAATTCACTATATAATAATTTCCAAAAAGGGGGGGTGCTGCCCCTGCATAAAATTATTATCAATACCAACGGAGTTTGGAATATTCGTGTTCTTGTGATGATTTAGGATATCCGGTTTCTCCGAATTCCATTTCTCCGAAGCCACTTTATCGAATGGACATTTCACCGAAAAATTATTTATTCCATTTGGTTATTTGTTTTTATACTAAATTTTTAAATTTAGCTGATTTTTATTAATTTATCTTGTTGTTTATAATACATTAATCTTTTTTTTTTTACTTATTTTTTCATGATTAAATAAATGTTTTCAGGAATTATTTATTGTTTAATAATTAATATTGGTTACTTGATAACTTTGAATGTTGAAGTGATAATATCCTGGAAAAAAATATCTCTAAAAATAATTTAATTTTTATTTCATTGCGCGATGGAAATTTTTATAAAAATGTTGATCGTTACCATTTTGGTGAAACGTCGATTTCGGTGAAATGTACCGTAACCATCTTTATGGATGGGTAATGAGTCAGTATCTCTAAATCGGAAATTACGAGTGGGAACATGTGATGAGTTCCCTAAAAATCCGGAAAATAATCTTAATGCTATCTTAAATAAATAAAAAGATGCAGCACGAGGCTATTATATACAAATTAAATGTCATTTTCCACCACAGACGCATGACCATTTGCAGGATTTATCTCCTGCGGTCAAAAAAATTAAGGTAAAACATGAACGAAGCAGGAGATGTACAGTACTTAGAAAAGATGGGAAAAAAAATTATGTTTCTATAGAAAAGTTAATAACGCATCTGGACCTAGCGTTAGAGATGAATATGTCCTCCATTATAGCGAACTACAATATTATGTAATACTTGGAATGGTAGTGGACGAAGTACAGAAAAAAGCGTGTGAAAGGGGAGTTAAAAAGTCAAAAAAGTTTATTTTAAAGAGAGCAAATGAAAGGGGAGTTAAAAAGTCAAAAAAGTTTATTTTAAAGAGAGCAAGTGAAAGGGGAGTTAAAAAGTCAAAAAAGTTTATTTTAAAAAGAGCAAGTGAAAGGGGAGTTAAAAAGTCGAAAAAGTTTATTTTAAAAAGTGCAAGTGAAAGGTTAAAGATGGTCATCGGTCCTACCGGTCCTACTCGGTCCCGGACCGGTCGGTCCCAGGACTTGTAGGACCGGACCGCGGTCTTTCATTTTTTCTTGGCGCAGTAGGACCGGTCCTGAGACTGACCTAGTCTTTGTATTGGTCTTTATATATAAGTTATTACATGCATATTGAAACTTCGCCTTATTTCTAGAAAAGACTGTCTCCAAGGAAAAAAAAGAAAATTAACGTTAATAAAGTATAATAAGTCCGTCTTTATACATGTTATTTGCTTATAATATACGTCTGGACTGGAATGGTTCCTGGAAGACTGTTCCTAGTAAAGTAATAGAAAAAATTATTATTTGCGGAAAAAAAGAAAAAGACTGATCGGTCTTAAAAAGACTGCAGTCCTTAAAAAGACCATTGGTCTTATTGTACGTGTTACAGGACCGAAAGACTGCAGTCCTACACCAAGACAGACTGGTCCGTCTTTTTAAGGTGTAGGACTGCGAGACCATAGTCTTTTAGGACCGATAACCATTTTTAATGTAGTTTCAACCTAGCTGAACATTTTCCAACTAATTTAAAAAGTTGATTTCATTTGACCAAAGTGGCGAAATTATGCTCTGAAGTTAATAAATAAATAAAAAAAAATTGAAAGTTAGTACTGTTATGAAAAATATGGGTTTCTTTATATATATTATACTTACACTTATAAAAATTAATATACAAGTAGTTTTGACTTCATTAAACAACTTTCAATTAATAAAAGAAGTTGATTTCATTTAACTAAAGTGATGAAATTATGCTCTAAAGTTATTAAATAAAAAAATATAAAACTTTGGAAGTTGATAGTATTATAAAAAACAAATTTCTCTATAAATTTTATTTCTAATTTATGAAATTGAGTTGTATAGGCTAAATAATATATTTGGAAAGAAAGTTACAGTTTAAAAAAATTCACAAAAAAATTTTTATTTACATGTACAAAATTGTAAAACGTAATACAAATATTAAAAATTGTATTAAAATACTGGTGAATTTCACCAGAGGTAAAATTTACCACTGGTGAATAACCACTGGTGAATATAAAATTAATCCAATTTTATTATATTATATTATAATTCATGTAATTTTTACAAATATTTAATAATTACATTTAAAATTGAAATTAAAATAAAAAAATAAAATTAAATGAAATTAAAATAAAATTAAATGAAATTAGATGAGATTAAAATAAACTAAAATTTAAAATTAAATAATTAAAATTAAAGTAAAAGTAAAATTAAACAGTAAAAATAAATTATAAAGTCAAAGTCAAAATATAAAGAAAATAAAAAAAGAAAAAACCTAAAAAGAAATAAAAAAAACTTTTTAAAAAAATAAAAAAATAAAAAAAAATTCCAATAAAATCTAAAAAAAAATTTAAAGAAAAAATTTTGGCCAAAATAAAAGAAATTCAAATAAAAAATAAAAAACTAATTAATTATTATAAAGAAATTAGACNTATATTATATGTATTTATATAATAAACAGCATATTTTTAAGGGTTATTGTTTATTTTTGACGGTATTTTATAATGGTTTTATTACATAAAAAAAGCGTTCGAAATATTTTTTTGATTTTTTTCGCTTGTTACACTAAATTCGATTGGTTCGATATTGTCACACTTATTTTCATGTGACATTTGGTTGGTGAGCCATATGTATATTATTAATAAAAAATTATGATAAAGAAAAAATTTTTTATTTTAGTTAAAAGGATTATGTACTGTGCAGTATATTACTATATTACTAAACTATTCCTTATCTTCTAAAATTAGAAACAATTGCATTAAAAAAATTAACTAATCTCAAATTCGTTTGATCGAATTTCAGTCAGGATTTTGGCTGCCAAGATTTTAGATCATCGGGATTCTGTGACTTGTCAGGATGTCAGGATTTTTTAATATTGAACAAAGTGTGAAAGTCATTTATAATAAAAGTTTTTTAATATTTGTCCAATTTTCAAGTTAATAAATCTTAAACTGTCCGTAAATTTCCATAAATTTATTTTTGTAAATTTATTGTAATTTAATTTCGGGAGATTGACAATATCGTGTCGGGGAAAAGTCCTATTCGGAAATTGGATATCGGAAGTAACTGTTACACCCGGCTAAAAAATAAAAAGATAGCCATATTTATAATAATATCCTTAGAAATTTATGTGGAGTGCTGATTAAGTATTAGATACCTTTATTAACTCATTAATGAAAAGAAATTAATATTCCATCTTTTTTCCGTAAAAGGCTCATATTTCCGGATTTAATGGAATTTATCAAATCATTCATTTTCCGTAAATAGATCCGTGAAAGGCACATTATTACGGAGTTTTTACAGATAAAATTTTTTATAGGGAAAGTGTATAAATATTCTGATAATATTATCATCCTTTCCCAAGAACAATTTAATTTCACATTTCTTTTCCTTTGTCTTTTGCATCTCTCCAGAAAGAATAATGAGAATATTTTCGGCTCAATTATTTAAGTTATACGCTTTATTTTTAGTTGCAATTGCAACCGTAGCTTTAGGTGTTCCTCTAGTTCGTCGAAAAGGTAGTCATGGAAGTCTTATATGTTCTGAACAAAATGCCTTAACCAAGCGAGCAGACATACCATTTGAAGAGCGATGTCCTGAAGAATACTCTTTATACATAGCTTCCCTTTGTTCCATAGATGCACCAAACCTAATGTTGATAAATTGTGCAAGAGAGGATGAGCCAGACGTCATTTTTGACACTGACTATACTTGTGAAGATGATGAAATTTGTATAGATCGTACTGAATTTCCAGAGACCCCACATGCTTTTTGTATTAAAAAAAAATGTGGTCTTCCATTCGATAATTTTGTCCGTCCTGATCTCGATGCCTGTGGATCACATAGTTACAGTGTTTCTGGACCAGTGAATTTAGTAGTTGCAATGATGACATATTCAACAGAAATGAACCCAATACAAGTAAATTATCAGAATGTAAAATATAAAGGTGATCTCGCTTTTGTTAATCAGGTGAACAATTTCACTAGAGTTATTAATGGTTATAATGGGGAAAATATCGATTTCTGTTTTAATGGAGGCACCACGCAGAAAGTACAAGCTTTCGCTGCTGCTTGGATAACTGACTGATTCTAATGACATGTAGTTTTTATAAATTAACTAGCCAGTAATTTTTTATCCAATACCCACAGATAAAATAGGTGGAATTACAATTTGTAGAAGTTTTATTCTTTTTTTTCTTTCATATTTTGTTAATGTAATGATTTCTTATAATTTTTAATAATAAACGCTTTTTTTTTATAGACTTCATGGCATAATGTTAACAATTTAGCGCTTTTGAAATATTAATTGAAGTTGTTTTTTTTTTTTTTTTTTTTAAAAAAAAAAAAAAAAAAATGCTATCTATTTATTTTTTCTTCCTTATTATATCTAGCAAGCTTTCTAAACTTTTCTAACTTTGATAAAATTTCCGTAATATAAATGATACACGTCTAAATAGAATGAAAATATTTCAAAACGAGTTGATAAAATATTTTTATTATTATTATTGTACTTTTAGCATATTTCTGTTACAGATAATAAAGATATTAGTATTAATCATACTGTATTTTCAATATATGATTTATATATAAATAAATAAGTATTTTCCTTACTTTTTCGTGAATAAGTGTTTTCAGGATAATAAAGTGGGTCTGGTTCACATTACCGACAATCATTTTACCGACAATCATTTTACCGACACTCACTTTACCGACAGGTACGTTTTACCGACAATCATATTACCGACAATCATTTTACCGACAAAATAATAATTATTTTTAAGTTACAAAAAAAGCAAATTATATAAACTAAATTAAGAAAATTATTAAGAACAATTCTAAGTACAATATATTATGAAGCTGAAATAAATTTTTTAAAAAATAAAATTGATAAATTAAATATTCATTAAATTCAAATTATTTTATTATATATAAATATCATAGTATTTTACATTTTGTTATATATTAATCAATTTTTTATTTTACATATTATGGTAAATTCTTTTATATTAAATATGTATTTTAATTTTCATAACTGAAGTGGGTAGTGAAATAGTAATAAATACTGTAAGTGTTGATGGTAAAATTGGGTGTCGGTAAAATGAGTGTCGGTAAAGTGTACCTGTCGGTAATATGATTGTCGGTAATATGAGTGTCGGTAAAATGATTTTCGGTAGTATGATTGTCGGTAATGTGAACGGGTCCCAATAAAATAAAGTTATTTATTTATTGCTTAACAATTAATATCAGTTACTTGAATGTTAAAGTGATAATATCTTGGAAAAAAAGGAATTTTCATTGCGCGATGAATTTTATAAAAATGTTAGGAATTCGGCGAAATTGACGATTCGGTGAAATGGATTAAGCGAAATTTACGTCCCTTCAGCGAAATATCCCTTAGGCGAAACATCCCTTCGGCGAAATGGCTTCGGCGAAATTGGTTTCGGCGAAATGGCTTTTGGTGTAATGATGATTTGGTAATAAAAAAATCGAGCGGGCGATCAATATTTTAATTACTGTATTTATTATTTATATAAATTCTATATTTAATTTGAGTTTAAAAACTCATGATAAGAATTTGACTTGGATCATGTGATATAATAGATGGACCAACACATTTCCAAGTGTCATTCTAGGATCATTACCAAACTGATTACGATATGATCCTAATTTTAGGGTTTGAATTTTTTTTTTTTTATTAGAAATGATTTCCCATATAAGTGGGTTATATGGGTTATAACATCCTACTATTAATTGGTAGACGATGATGGAGAAAGAGCTATTAATAATAAATTGCTCTGGGTCTAATTTTTGTTATAATTAATGTCTCATTGTGATCGCTGATTCGCCGTCTTGACTAATTACCATAATATGAACTATTATTCCTGTCGTGGAATGTTCGATTATCGACCAAGTTTTTCATTTGTCTGGAGTGTATGTTGAATATCATCATTTATCAACATTTTGAACTCGTGATATTTTAAGATTTCATGACATGAATTAATTTAATTGGATAAAAATTTTTTAAGGTAGAATTTGAAAAAAAAAAAATATTCGTTTGAAGATATATAATAAAATCTGTTAATTGATCCCTCCATTACTTTAATATCAAATATCGCTTCAAATTTTAACATCTTGTGTAGGATGTCCGAGATACCATTTGATCAAATTAACCCATATTAACCTTCTCCAAAAAAAAGATAACGTTTCCATAATTGGTGCTTTTAATCTAATAAATTGATCGTAATCCGCATATTCTATCGATATAAAAATCATTAAATTTGTATTTGACTCATTACTAGAAATTAAATCAAGAATTTCTAAAGAATTTCGGCATAAAACTAATGCCCATTCTCAATTAAATAATTTTGAATGAAATGGACCGAAGTTTGAATGTTGAGTTCGTTCACAATTGTCATGAATTTTATTCAATTTAGACTACCCGATCTCGTTCGTCCAAGAAGCATAAAATGATTCTTTTTTACCAAAAACATTACAAGAAATACCATCATTCTAAAAAGGAGACGATTATATTTCAGTGTATAACAAGTCAAAAGGTTAGAGAAAATCGGTTATTGGTATGAATAATAATTAAAATGGCCAGGTGGTGCGAGTTGGTGGATATGTGCTGTAGGTCAGTAGGTATGTGGATTGGTGGATCTAACGTTATATTTTTTATTTTCGAGTACAGTACATTCGTTTTAGTCAAATATCAATCCTTTTCTGGAGAAATCAAAAAAAAAAAAAAAACACGTGAGAAACGTACAAAAAGGAGATTTTTTTTTTTTAAAAAAAAAATTACTAATTTATCATTCTGATAGTAGCTCAGGAAAGCCAGTTTCTCCTTAATATCTAACCCTAGCCCTATGAAAAAAAAAATTCTTTAAAATATACTTAAAATGTACTTATATATTTTAAAATATATCTAAAATGTACTTAAAATTTTTAAATGTACTTAAAATATACTTAAAATTGCAATTTTAAGTATATTTAAAGTATGAAATTTTATACTTAAATTATATTTAAAATATACTTAATTGCAATTTAAATATAATTTAAGTATAATTTAAGTACAAAATTTTACACTTTAAATATACTTAAAATTGCAATTTTAAGTATATTTTAAGTATATTTTAAAATGTTAAGTATATTTTAGATATATTTTAAAAATATATAAGTATATTTTAAGTACATTTTAAAGAAATTTTTTTTTATAGGGTAGTTCCTCCATTACTACTGTAGTCCTTTATTTACTAAAGGACAATAAAAAATAAATAAAACCGAACAAAATAAAAATAAAAAGGAAAAAAATATCAAAGAAAATGAAAAATAAAATATTAATATATCCTTTTTTCATAATTTGACGTAAAATTTCATTATTAAAGAAAAGCGTTATATATAACCTAACCTGACACTATAATATGCCAGTTCGGGTTTCGGGTAATCATTACGATAGTCAAAAATCCCGTAATCTGAATCAGCTTCAAAATTATTCCATTTTATCAATTATAAGATGAGTAAAATATTTTAATAAGAACTTGTAAAGAGTTCTTATACGGTAAGAGTAATGAATCATTTATTATATATGTTGTATATGAATCAAAAATAATAAATATTTTTATATGTAATTTAATAAATTTGAAGTAGGAAGAATTTTCTTTGCGTTACTTCTAAATTAAATATCGGATAGAATCATTTTTATTAATTGCAATAATAATAAACACAATTATAATAGTTATAACAACAAAATAATTAATAATAACAAAGTATAATAAATAACTAATGCAGCAAAATATAGAAAATATGTAAAATGAACTGTTATGTTAATTCAATAAATGTTCTTAAATATTTAAATATTCTTACAAATATGGAGAATTGCTGTGATGCAATTAACAAAAATGATATAAAATATTTTAGATAAAAATAATTTTACTAAATATAACAACTTATTTTGAAATATTGAAAATAAAATATTTCAAAAGAAAGAAAGAAAGAAAGAAAGGATGAATGTATATACTCAATTTAAACATATGCTCTTATTTTTTTATCACATTAAATACTTCATAGTCATCAACTTCAAAATGGTGGGAAATGTCAATTTTAGGATAATAAGTACAAAAAGAACTCCATTTGCCATCTGAATACATTAAAAGATCTGCCCATCTTCCATTGTACCCAAAACATACTCCATAATAGTTCTTCCAGCTTACAGCATAGCGTTTATCATTTACTCTATATAAATTACCAGTATCGACGCTTCTGTAATCATCAAATAAAAATAAAAAACTGTCATTTGTATTTCCATTAGTATTTCCTGACCAACTATATGGATTATACCCTCCAACTATTTTATTAGTTCCTTTAATTTTTGCTATCACAATAGTTGCTCCTTTGTCATCACATTTATTATGAAATGATGAAGCACTAAACCCATCCCTACTGCCACGTAAAATTAGATTAAAATTATATGGTACTCTTTCTAAATCATAAGCTACATTTTTTCTATCTATCCAGCTTGCAAATAATGGCATGTATTTTTTATTTATAATAAGAGAATCAATTTTACCAATATTAAAGGCCATTCTTGACGGTAACAAATCTATTCGTTTCGTACTCGGGTTTAAATATGAATTTAAAATTTCATGTTTTAATTTCTTTGGTAATAAATCTTCATAAGGTAATACATTAAGAGAAAAATCTTCTGAAGTGATATCTTGAAATCTGATTAGAGGAATAAATCTTGATATTGTCTCTCCCATTAATGTAGAATCTTCTCTGTTCCATTTAGAAGTATCAGTGTCGATTGTAAGGTGTTTTGATTGGGTCCATTTTATCAAGTTATTCCATATCTCAATTTCTTTTAATGCAAGGTCATCTCGTTTAAGTAATAATTCCAATAGTTCTGCTGGTAATTTCAAAATTTTATCAGTTCCAAATAAAATATTTGGCTCTTGACAAATTGTTTCGATACAGTAATTACGTAACGTTGTTAATGATTCATGTTGAAAAATAATTTCAAGAATTCCGACAGTGTCATTTTGTAATAATTCCTTTTGATTATTGACAATAAATTCTTGGAGATGTTCATTAAGTGTATGCAATCCAAATTCATCTGTAGAAATCAATAATTTTAAAACGTCTAGTCCATTTTTTTCAACACTCAAATCTACTTGTCCACAATATAAATACCTATCATATATTGAGAAACTTTTTTAGTTCATTTATTTTTACAAATAAAAGCATTTTATACTAATATGAACATGATAAATAACCTGAGAATTACTTCAAAAGTATGTGATGAAATATTAGGTTTCTTAAAAATATATTTTCCGTCAATTTTTTCCGCCCAATTTGAAGAAAATGCTGTACGAAAATAATTTGATTGACAACGAAGTACAAGAGAATGAGCATAAATTTCTTTTATATTTGGTTCTTCACCAACTTGTATGATAACATCATAATTTTCTTTCGATTCAAAGAGACTTTCAAAATTTTTCAAAATTTCTGAAGATAATTTTGAATCCATTTATTAGCAGTTAAGTAATATGATTTTGTGGCGTATTTATACTTAAATTTTTTCTTTGTATGACTGTCGATCAACTTTTGTAACGTTACTAGAAATATCTAGTATTAATAATTTTTTCCCGAACATAATTTTGATTTTATTCAATCTTAGCTATTTAATAAAATTATATGACTTAACGACATAACATTTATAGAACTTTGCTAAATGATTTTTTGCACAAACGGTATTACGGTCCAGCTCACGTCATCGATGCTTCTTTAAATAGTATTTTAATATTTTTTTTGTCTATAAGTTGATCATCAGCTTATTTGCCTTCTATATGTACTCTGCCAGCTTATACTGCAAGTTGAGTTGTAAAATTGCTGAATAAGTTAGTTTTATATTTGTGAGCCTGACTTTAAGATTATTAAAGTTGTAACGGGCTTTATTCTAAAAGGAATGATCTTATAAATTCTACATTGCATTAGAGTAGAAATTATTAAGTTATCTAAGTTATCTAAGTTATCTAATAACGTAATATATTACTACTCGAAGGTCGAAATTTCTCAACATAGATTATTTGGATCTTTTTCAAATAATTTTGGTATAAGTTTAACAACGATTAATTGACGATTTTTTTTCATGAAAAAAAAAATTATACTAAATAATATAATTCTGTAAGAGACGCGTACGAGATTATTGCGTAAGATATACAGTATATAAAAAGTATAATATAGCTTAAATTTGACTAAGTGGATTTTATAATAATTTAAAATTAAAATTAAACTCTTCTTTGTGGATTTTATGTACGATTTTTTATTTATTTAAATAAATACTGTAAATACAATTTAATACAACATATAAATTTAATACAATATATAATATATATAAAACTAAAATACTATAAAAAAAATGTTCTTTTATACATTACTAATTTCACAATCTTTAATAACCTGAAATGCTTCATAATGTAATATTTCAAAATTACTTGGAATACCAATTGAAGGATAAGAGGTTGGTTTACTTGTCCAATTACCATCATTCTTACATAATAAATCAGGACCATTTCCAAATGCCGGTTCCAATCTTTCATTATAATATACGGCATTCTCAGGTTGACTAACATAACCACATCTCCCAGATTTAACTTCATCTTTGTCTCCAAAATAGAATAGAAAACTATCTCTTGCAAATTTATTTGATTTTTGTCTACTAAATCCATTTGGATTATAACCTCCAACTAATTTATCCGAATCCTTAATCCTAGCTACAATCAAAGTAGCTTTAGCTCTACTCAAAGCTGATTGAAATACCGGGAATAAATTCATACCTTTATCAACATGTTTACTAATCAATAATTTGAATTTGTAGGGATTGTTATGTATCTTATAATGTGAATTAGATTCCTTGTCTATCCAATTAGCAAACACAGCGCAATGATAAGGCGTAAGCATGATTGAAGGGCTGACTTTATGATATCTTGTTCTGTGACAACATCTAATAGAATTACTTTTATCCAAGAATTTCTTCAATAAATAATTAATCATGTCTTTTGATAATAATTTTTTATAAGGTAATACCTTTTGATAAACATCTGTTGAATCAAAATAATCAAATTCAATTAAAGGAATTATATCATTTAATGTTACTTTCAATATCTTAAGTTGTTCCTTATTTAAATTATTAATATTTTGATCGAATGTTGGATGTTTAGAAATTCCCCATTTTAATACATTTTCCCAAATTTTTGATTCTTCTATTTTATAAGCTTTACATTTTAATAAATCTTTTAATAATGATTCATCTATTGAAGGAAATTTTTTTGATGAGAATATAATTTCCGGTTTCACACAAATAATTTCAAGATAATCATCCCATAATTTTGTGAATAATGAAGAATTTTTATGAATTATTTTAAAGATTTCTATTGGTTGAGATACTAAAAATTTTAATTTATTCTCATTTAAGAATTTTTTAGCGTAATTAATTAATTGTTGAACGTTAAATTCTTCTGATCCAATAATTATTTTTAGAATTTCAGATCCTTGTAAATCGGTCAATTTAACATTTCCACAATAAATAAATCTAAGAATAAATAAATATATAAATAAATTGATTAATAGAAATCATCATCAATTACTAAATTTAAATAATAATATAAATAATATAAATAATTAATAATAATAATATTTACTTTAGAATAATTTTAAACACTTGAAGATCAATGTTACGTTTACTGAATATAAACATTCCATTATTTTTATCAACCCTTTTATTTGAAAAAGCTGTTCGAAAATATTGAGATCTAATACGTAATATTACTGAATGAGCATGAACCACATTTCCATTTTCACCAACATAAAAGATTGTATCATATCCTTCTTCTGTATCAAATAATTTTTCATAATCGTCTATTACATCCGCCCAAAATTCTCCGGTCATTATGGAAATTCCTGGTGAATTAAAAAATAATTTTTTTTTTTTTTTTTTTTAAACGAATACTTATTTAAATAATTTTTTATTTAATTTTGTGTAAGGTCACATGGTATTAGCCCGCATGATTTTTAAGACTAGCCAAGTATTGACCGGTACTAAATAAAGATCGGCAAGAGAGGCTTCGGTTAAAAGGTTTGGTCGTATTAAGAAAATGTTATACAAATTTAGTAAATTTAGTATACAGTACATACTAAACATTTTAAATTACGTATAATGAACGTATTTTTAATGAAAAACGAATTTAATAACTAAAAAAAAAATTTATTATTTAATTAATTAATTAATTCAACAATTTTGGCGCGGAAAAAAGTATATAACCGTAGTTGATTATAATCTGCAAGATCAATACTGATATGGTAAAAGTCCGTGCTGCCATATAAAAAAAAAAAATTGCGAACAAATTATAAATCTGCGCCATTATTTCCCTGCATATACTTTTTATTTAGTTACAAATCAAAGGACTATTTTATATTTTAATCTATAAAAGGTTGGATCAGCCCAAGAAACAAAGAAACAATGCTATCCATAATTGAAAGGTGATGCATTGTGGCGTATAAATAAATAAACACATTCATGTAATACAAATAGCTCATGATTTTCTCCTTTTTTTTTCTTTTTGAACTTTATAAAAAATTGTCATTTTTACGAAATAAAAAAAAATTAAAATAATTTTTTTGAATAAAAAAAAAAAAAAACTTAAATAATATACAAATATTATTACGTACGATAAAAATGAAAGAAATCAAATCATGTGATATCGTCCTTCCATCTCCGAGTCTTTATATACCTAGTGGGACATCATCATTAATTATCAAAGGAGAAATTAAACTCGTACTTTCGACTCCATTAAAGGTTACTCAAGTTGTCTTAAAACTTCATGGATTTTCTCAATTTAATAATTCTCAAAAATCTACAACACGTAATCTTACTACAAAAGATTTGACTAAACAAAAACTTACCGTTGTTAATGTTACAAAAACATACAATCCTGGTGAAACTATTCTTCCATTTTCGATCACTTTAAAATCTCCACAAAATCTTCTTGAAAGTGTAGAGGGTAAACATGCCGCTGTACGTTATGTTTTGACTGCGGAATTAACCAAGGCGAATCCGCACGCTATTTACAAAACCTCGAAGAATGTAATTCTTCGTAAAAATATATTTACTAATGGGGTGGATATTAATGATAAAGTTGTGTATGAAGGTGAAAGAGAAGGATTATTGAAATATAAGGTTGAAGTTTCCAAGTATATGGTAATCGAAGATGATGGTTATGTTGGTGAAGAAAATGACGATGATGATTCTCCATGCGAAAATCCACGTGGTAAAGTAAAAGTAGAAGCTACGTTCGAATCATTAGATAAAGCTGGCGTTAAAGAAGTGAAAGTTGATGCTTTTGAATATGAAATGTATAATCTTGCAAAATTCAATTCTACAACTGGAGTTTCTTCGTCAAGTGGTTCAACTACTACTGCAAAATCGTAAGTTTAATTTGATTTTTCTTCTGTTTAAATTATTTAAATATAAATTTAGTTAATTGTTATTTTATATTTATTACATTTTTAGATCAACTTCAGCTCCTAAGCCTAAAACTCCTACTACAAGAGCCGCACCAAAGATTCCGGCATTTTCTAATGTTAATATACAAAATCCTCATCATACTAAACCCCTTCTTACTCCCTCGCTTACAATCCCTGTGTCTTCTAATGCATCTGAACCCGTAACTTTTGAAATTCCTATACATAAAAGAATGAAGCCTGATTCAAATATCAATTTTTTGGAAATAAAACATGAAATTATTATGACAATAAGATTTGATAAATTCATGTTAACTCCTTTGAAACTTGAAGTTCCTATTTCTATTATAACCATAGGTTCATAATCTAATTAATAATAAATTTTTTGATGAAAATAAAAAAATTATTTTAATAATTTTCATTAATAGATAATTAAAAAAAATTAATAGATTTTATTTCTTTATTTTTCCTTTTTCCTTTTTTTTTCAATATTGTAATTTTCTTATTAAAAAAAAATTTAATAAATGAATTTTAGAACTTTTAATGATGCTTATAAGAAGGATTAGAAAAATTTCAGATTTATGATTTTAGAGACATACAATAATTAACGCTAATGATATACTTGACGCTAGATCTATAAATTACGAAGGAAATTTTTTTTTTTTGTTATAAAACCGTATTTTACAACGTATGTTAATTAATCTATAATGATGGTTGAAAATTATTTTCAAGGATAGGTGGTGATTTCTTCGAAAAAGAATTTTCCGTCCTTTTCTTAAATTTGATCTTTCATCAGCTTGTATTATAGCTTGCTTTTTCAAACAACTTTAAAATTTAAAATAATTTCCTCCATGTATTCTGTAAGGAGAGAATGAATTAAGCAGAGGAACGAATTTCTATGTACACGTTTTCTCATTATTATATGTGATGCATAGACTCATGCATTATATGGCGGGATCGTGATGAACGACAAAAATCGTGATTGCGAAAATTATCACAACAATCATTACGATGAAGTAACTATCTTCTCTCATTTTCGGTCGAACCAATTCTGATTTATCACGATAAATAGTGCGTGCTGTTATCTTTTACCGAAATCAACTTCCCTTAAGTAAATTCAAAGAGAAGAATCACGAATTTAATTAATCTTATTTCAATCATGATTTCGTTTTAAAACTTGTTGCTATAGTTTTTTTAATTAGAAGATTTCTAATGGACTTATTCAAGTCAAATAATGTCGATTTCGTAAATTTGATCTTTCATAATAGCTTGCTTTCAAATAACTTTTTAAAGTTTAAAATAATTTTGCAGAATCTTGCAGGGAGAGAATGAATTTAAGCGAAAGAACGAATTTCTTATGTACACGTTTCACATTATTATATGTGATGCATAGACTCATGCATTAGAACGACAAAAATCGTGATTGTGAAAATTGTAACAACAATCATTACGATGAAGTAAACTACCTTCACCATTTTCAGTCGAACCAATCTGATTTATCACGATAAATAGTGCTATTATCTTTCATCGAAATCAACATCTCTTAAGTAAATTCAAAGAAAAGAATCATAAATTTAATTAATCCTATTTCAGTCACGATTTCGGTTTAAAATTTTGCTATAGTTTTTTTAATTAGAAGTATTAATAATGATTAATGAATTAATCTCCGCAACTCTTGTAAGAGCTGTCGTTTGTATCGTATAAGAAATAGATAATACTTGGGAAAAAATGGAAAAAGATGAATATTAATAAATCAATACTATATACATTTAAACACAATTCCATAAAATAAAATACAGTGTGTCTAGTACACGCAGATCTTGCACAAAATTTTTAATTTAAACTCTTAACGATTGCAAATAATATAAATAATCGCGTAGTATTGGTTATGATACGGCACAATACAATAAATTTATTGATTATAGGGAATCTCTACTATTCGGCGAGTAATACATTAAATCAATACGTGTATTTTAAATTGGCATTATTCCATTCGGAATTCTGCGATTAAAACATTAAATTAAATATCCAAATATATTTTCATTTGTTAAATTTTGTCTTAACGTTACAAAATACTAAAAAAAAAATAATTTTTTTTATTTTTAATTGTAAATTTTTTTTTTTTTTTTTTTGAAATAGAATGAATTTGAATGATTATTGTAAAAATAAACCTTAGATGCACGAAGAACATACATTTTTTCTTTTGTAAGAATACGAACTGAACTTGTTCTAAACAAATTCTTAATAATATAATAATAGGTTAATTCGGTATATAAAAAGTTTATCTATACATTCTATTTATCGATGTAACATCCAATGCATAGATGCAAACCTTGAAAGTTGAAACACGCCACAAAAAGATCATCAAAGTCATTTCTTACATAAACATTGTTGACATTGTCATACAATATTAATAACCACTTACAGTATTATATAAAAAATGACATCAGCACATACAGGTCGCACAACTTCGGTAAAATTTTCGTTTCTGAATTCCGGAATTCTTTTCTTGTTTTTAAAAAATTATTAAAAAAAAAAGAAATGTCATATAAATTTTAGGAATCTGCTATCAACGATTATGAAAAATTGCTTGAAACTGGAGAAAGATCTGATGTTATTATATATGCTGGAGAGAATGAAGAATTTCGTGCTCATTTGTCTATCTTATGCGTTAGGTCCGAATACTTTCGCGCAAAAACTGGGCTGAGAAAAAAGACGGAATGCTTATCTTTAAAAAACTAACATTGAATTTAACTTGTTTCTGGTTATTCATAGGTAAAATTATAATCAGATATATTACATCAAATTATATTTCAAAATAAATATAATTTGATAATTATATACAGATTCATTTTTTGTGGAAAAGTTAATTTAACAAAATTACAAGTTTTGAAATGTTGAAACTTTGATAGCAGTAAATGAATTAGATATTATTCAAGAATACTTGTCTATAAATAAGTCTGATTTCTTGAACCGAAACCCTATAGAAATTCTTGAGATACAGTAGTTTATCAACATGAAAAATTCACAGAGTTATGGAATTTTTGTCTTAGTAATATTAAAAAATCAATTGACTTAATAATTTAGAAATACCTAAATTACCTTTATTAGAATTCTTTTAAAACATAATGATTCTGCTATGGATGAGATTGTTATGTGGGAAAAGTTTAATCGAATGAGATCTTGCACAAAATCCTACTATTCAAAAGATGTTAAAATTGGAGTAAAGAGAAATATAAATTTTCTCTTTTTTAGATAACAATTAGTGTTGTTCTTTTATTATGAAAAGTAGAAAACTCGACTTGTAGCAGTGATAAAAACAAGAATGTGTAATTATTTGCTTTTCTCTTATCTTTAATATTTTTTTTTTACAACTTGAACTTTTTATTGTATTATTAATTAGTCTCTCGAACTTTCACTATTACAGTTTCAAGCATTAGTATGTGTAATACCGTAATTGTTTGCTATTTGGGCGTGATTTGAAAAATTACCATAATAATTTTCGCGATGAAAAAATGAGAGATAATATTCCAGCAAAAATTCATCAATATATTATTAGAAAGTAGTCTAACTATCCGCCTTAGTATTTGGAGCTTTGAATGGACAATCTAAGATATAATTCCAAATGAGTATAATGGTTGCGCTTGGCGTTTTTTGAACATGATGAGGATATATTGAAGTGGAGCGTTAACAAGTTTCGATCAAATCATTCAGGCAGCATCGCTCTATAAAAAAAAATTCTAGAAAAAACTCTAATAAATGATCATTTCTCTAGTTTTCATTTCGAAGAAACTCAGACATGTGATTATTTTCTGAAAAATTTTTTATAGAGTCGAACTACCTGCACCATTTTCGGCCGAATCAATTCTGATTTATCCCAATAGATTGTACCGATATCTTTTACCAAAATATACACTTTAATCCTACTTCAATCATATATATTCCGTAAAAGGCTCATATTTCCGGAATTAATAACGGAATTTCTTGAATTATTTTCATTTTCCGTGAATGGATCCAAGAAAGGCTCATTCCGGAGTTTCACAGAAATAACGGATAAAATTTTTTATAGGGGGGAAAAAATGAAAATTAATAAATCAATTACATTTAAACATAATTCCGTACAGTGCGTCTAGATATCATATCGCAGAGCTTGCACAACTGAAAATTTTAATTTAAGTAAAAATAATGTAAATAATTGCATAGTACTGGCTATAAACAATTTATACTATTCGGCGAGTAACACAATAATCAATACATGTATTTTAAATCCAAATTTTTGGCAAAATGAGGTACAAGTAAGTGATTAATTGCCTTAATCTTCTCTCTAACGTTGTGATATTTATATTTCTCGTGCCTTTCTGACAGTTTTTTCTAAAGGACGTTCCGCCAATTATTAAAAGCTTTACGAAAATCTTTCGACAACCCCAAGAACACCACCAAAAAATTTTCGGTAACATGACTTTATTAGGTTAGTATGTTTAATCTTGCGATTAAAACATTAAATTAAATATCCGAATATATTTCATTTGTTCTTGTATTAAATTCTTTTTTTTATAAAATACTAAAATGAAATAATTTTGTTTTAAATGAAATGGTAGTTTTTTTTTTTTTGAAATAGAATGAATTTGAATGATTATGATAAGAAAAAACCTTAGACACAAGAAGAAAATACATTAGAAAATATATTATTTCCTTTAATCAGATAGTGAGCAGAAAACTAATTTTACCTCCATTTTCACGAGAGAGCCGTCGATACGAACTGACTTGATTTAGACAAATACTTAATAATATAATAATAGGTAATTCAAATCCATATTCTACGATAAATTTGTTGTTGGATATTAATGTCATATTATTCCCAATTAAAATTTTATAGTTTTTTTTTTTATACATCCGAACAATTACAAGATCATCATCAATTATGTACTATAGTTGTCTAGTGATTTCTTCTTGTCATTGTCGCACAGTATTAAGCATTAACCACTTATATTATTTAAAGATAAAAAAAGACATCAGCACAAAACAGGGTCGCACAACTTCGGTAATTTTCGTTCCGAAACATCTAGATGTGTATAAGAGACAGGTATTAAGCATTAACCACTTATATTATTTAAAGATAAAAAAAGACATCAGCACAAAACAGGGTCGCACAACTTCGGTAATTTTCGTTCCGAATTTTTTTTTTTTTTTTAAAAAAAAAAAAAAAAAATTATTAAAAAAAAAGAAATGTCATATAAATTTTGGGGATCTGCTATTAACGATTATGAAAAATTGCTTGAAACTGGAGAAAGATCTGATGTTATTATATATGTTGGTGAGAATGAAGAAGAATTTCGTGCTCATTCCGCTATTTTATGTATTAGGTCCGAATACTTTCGCGCAGCTTTCTCAAACAACTGGGCTGAGAAAAAAGATGGAATGCTTATCTTTAAAAAACCAAATATTGAATCCAACTTGTTTCGGATTATTCTTAGGTAAAATTATAATCAGATATATATATTATTTATATGTGTGTGTGTGTTTCAAAATAAATAATATAATTTAATAATACTACACAACTTTTACTAGATTCATTTATTGTGGAGACGTTGATTTAACAAAATTGCAGGGTCCTGAAGTGTTAAAGCTTTTGATAGCAGTAGATGAGTTAGATATCCAACTTTTAATTTCATGTATTCAAGAATATTTAACTATAAATAAATCTGATTTCTTATACAAAAACCCTATAGAAATTCTTGAGATAGTTTATCAACATGAAAAATTCACAGATTTATGGAGTTTTTGTCTCGATAAAATTTGTGAAGAACCTGAAAAGTTAATCAATTCTGATAAATTTATTAATTTAAAAACACCTTTATTAGAATTACTTTTAAAACGGGATGATTTTGCTTTGGATGAGATTATTATATGGGAAGGTTTAATCAAATGGGGTCTTGCACAAAATCCTACTATTCCAAAAGATGTTAATAAATGGAGTAAAGAGCAATTTACAATTATGGAAAGGACTCTTCATGGATTTATTCCATTAGTAAGATTTTATCACATTCCTTCAGATGTCTTTTTTTATAAAGTTTTACCTTATAGAAAATTGTTACCTAAACAACTAGTTTATGAGATTACGGAATATAATATGGTTCCGGATAAAAAATCGACTATTAACATACAAACTCCTAGGAAACAAAAATTATAATTAAAATTTGGTTCATCCCTTATTGACTCTAATCATTTCGCAATATTTGCCAGTTGGATTGATAAGAAAGATAATTTATATTATAATTTTGAAAATATTCCTTATAATTTTAATTTACTTTATCGTGCAAGTAGGGAAGGAATGGATACTAAGCAATTCCGTAATAATTGCAATAACAAGGGAGCAACTATTGTAATTACACAAGTTAAAGGAACGAACCAAATAATTGGTGGATATAATCCACTTGTATGGGATTCAAGTAATTCAACAAAAGCAACAACAGATAGTTTTATATTTTCATTTGCAGATAAAAAAGACATAAATACTGCAATAATTGGTCGAGTCAAGAATACAAATAGTGCAATATTTTGTGCTGGTACACTTGGACCAGCATTTGGACCTGGTGCTGATTTGTATTGTACTAGTGGGAAGCAATGGAAATGCTCATCGCAGAACCATTATTACTCAATTAATTTACCTTTCAGAACGTTTTTTGCAGAAGATTATGAAGTTTTTCAAGTTATCAAAAAACAATCAATTGGCTAGAATTTGTATACAATAATTTAAATCCGGATGATGAAATTATTACGATAATAAATTATCCTATTTACATAATCTCGGTTCTTATTTATTTATTTTTTCTATTTTGATTATATTATTTTTAAATTTGCGTGATGAATCACATTGGTATCTTGAAAACCTCGAAACTTTAAATAAACTTCACTATGCAATCACCTCTTATCTAATACTGTATTTGAATGATTTTGTAATGATTATTTAATTGACTTCTGTTCTCCCTCATAATCGCAAGTTCTATATCGTATGTTTTCCTCTCTCCCACCCGTATAAGATATTTCTGAGTTAGTAATTTCGACCGAATCGAACAGGAAAGAAACATAAGATGGGAATTTAACTTTCTAAGCACTATTATTATTCTGCTGTTACGATGTAAAGTAGTAAACTCGACTTAAAACTTCATTCTTCCTCTGATATTTTCAAACTATTTGGGCGCGATTTGAAAAATTGCCATAACAACAATCTTAATGATGAAAAAATGAGAGATAATATTCCGGCAAAAATGGGCATAATGATAAATGAGAGTTGCTCTTAGTATTTTTTGAACGTATATTAAAGGGAACGTTAGCAGTAATAACAGCGTTAGAATTAACGTATGTAAATACATAATTTTTTCTGTAATTTCTAGATCAAACCATTCAGGCAGCATCGAACCACAATACCTGCACTATTTTTGGCCGAATAAATTTTGATTTATCACGATAGATAGTGCCGTTATCTTCCAAAATACCCAGTAAATAGTTTTTGTATAAATTTATACCAAACGGGCTCATTGGCTCGAAATTAGCTCAAATTTATGCAAAAAATAATCCAAATTTAAGCCAATCTAGAGCCAATTATATATGGATGAGCCCATTTGGTACAAATTTATACAAAAACTATTTACTGGGAATCAACATCCCTTAAAGTTAATTTAAAGAAAGAAGCATAAATTTTAATTTATCCTACTTCAATCATATGATTCGATTTAAAAAGTTTTCTATTGTTTTTTAATTAGAGGTATTAAAAATAACTCTAATTGATTCATTCAAGCCAAGCAATGTTTCTTTCATACTTTTCGTAACTCTTGCAATAGCTGTTGCTTCTAGCGTATACTAAGAGATAGATAATACGTGGGAAAAAATGAAAAGGGGAATATTAATAAATCAATACTATATACGTTTAAATTACACCATCGATTCTGTACAGTATCGTATACGTGGAGCTTGCATAAAATTTTAATTTAAACTCTTAACGATTATGAATAATGTAAATAATTGCATTGTACTGGCTATAAGCAATCTCTATATACTATTCGACGAGTAACACATTAAATCAATACGTATATTTTAAATTTAAATTTTTGAAAAACGAGGTACAAGTAATAATTAATTATGTTTAGTCTTGTGATTAAAAAATTAAATTAAACATCCATTTGTTCTAGCATTAAAATCTATTTTTTTTTATAAAATGTTACAAATCATTGAAAAGAAATAATTTTGTTTTATTTTAATTATTTGTAAATGAAATGATGTTTTTTTTTTTTGAAATGCAATGAATTTTAATGATTATTATCGGAGAAGGGTAAAAACAAACCTTAGACATCAGGAGTTGTATTTTTTGTAGAGTCTATGTAGTATCTATAATCTTATATATATCTAATGTAAATTTATTATATAAATTTTTATAAATCTGTAATACATATGAATTATTTATTTATTTTTTATATAATTGTAGAAATATTATAAATATTTTGTATAAAATTAGCATAAATATAGAATTATTTAAATATAAGTTTATGTATAATTTATAGTTAAATAAATTTTATATAAATATTTCATATAAAATTGTATGAATATAGAATTATTTAAATATAAATTTATATGTAATTTACAGTTAAATAAATATTATATAGATATTTTATATGTCATTATATATTTTATATAAAATTTTCATATAAATTTATATAAGTTTAAAAATATTTATATATTTTATTTAATTTTCAAATATATGCAAAATTACTAATACAATATATAAAAAATTTTTATTATTAATATCGCAGTTAAGTGATTGACATCTTTCAAAATAAATTGTAATATATTAACAAAATATTCTCATCAAAAAAATAATACGAAATATTTTTTTTAATGCATTTGTTACTATCGAAATGCGTTGGGTCACGTGATAGTAACAGAAATTCGTATTATATTTATCACGAAAATAGAGTGTATATGTTTAAATTTTTAAAATATAAATTTATTCGAAATAAATAATAACTTAAAATAATGAAATAATACAAATAAATAAATACTAATTCATAAATCATAACAAAAAGATAAAATATTGCTGCCTCCACTGGCGACCTATAATATTACCGATAAAACTAAACTAAACTAAAAATTAGTACTAAAATAAGTCCTCTTTTCCTTACCGTTCACCCATTATATATATATTGTTCATAATTTTGGTATAAATTATACTAAATTATACCAAGTATAAATTATACTATGTGTAAATTATACTGTTACGCTGCCAATCATTTAGATTACCTGCGAATTTCTTGGAGTTTCGGTGTGGCGCAGTTCGGTCGTAACACATTAAATACTTGGCCACATTATGAAAAATCATTGTAATAAATATTTGTCTATAATAATCCATAATATTTTTTTATTTTTATTTTTATAATTTGAAGTGAGCATAGCTTCAGAATTTACTATACAGAGACTACAAGAATCGAAAATAGTACAAATAAGAAAACTTTATCATATATCACGTTATATCACGTTATATCACGTGTATCACGTGATATAATCCGCATCTAAAATGGTAAACCTTATTTTAACTTTAAACTTTTTATTTTAACTTCAAAAATTAAATAATGATAAGTTTTTGAAAGAATTCATCAAAATCAAAAATAAAAAATTAGTAAAAGTGACATTAATGGTTCAAAAAAAAAAAATCAAAGAATAAAAAATATTTAATTATATATTTACCATAAATTGTTATTTGAAAAACAATTTTTTTTATTTGAGATTATGAACTATTTATAAATAGAATTTTATGTAAGGCTGTAATGAATATAATAAAAATCTATCATGATAAACTTAAACTAAAAAAGGCAACAAAGTATGTATTTTTTTACTTTAATTCATATTGTTGTTATCAATAAGGATCTTTATTAACTGAATTTTATTCATCTTATTTACGCCAATATATAAAAAAATAGTATATTTTTACTATTTGTAATATCTATTCGATAACATAAAATTTTTGTTGTACAGTTTATAAAATAGAATCTCTTTAAACGATCTACAAATAGTGTGATTAGTAATCATACCAACGATTATTTCATATAAATAGTAAAGTTAAACTTTACTTTTTTACCTTTTACTTTCTTGCTTTCTTTTCAATTTTCGTATTCACTATTATTTACTTTACTTTTCATTATTTTATTTTACTACTTCTTTATTAACTTTTTTTAAACTATGAGAAATCTTAGATCAAATTCAAATCGTAAAGTAAAAGACCAGCAAGATATTGAATCTGTAAGTACTATTGTGCAATATTTATCATTTGTACATGGTATACAAAGTACTTTTTTTTTATTTAGATTATTGATAAATTTGAAACAAATAAGAACTCTACATCAAACAATGAAAAGAAAAAACGAAAAACTTTTATGCAGAAAGTTAATAAGCCAATTTGTTTTAACCACTAAAACTTTGACTAATGACAAGTCACCCATTTCATCAAAAACTATACATGATACTTATGATGTCATATCCAAACCAAAAATTACGCCTAATACTAATGATCTGATACATCATTTGATATACTTAGTATTACAGATGATAATCTATTAAAAGACTCATCTGAATCACAAATACCAATTGTAGTTGAAGATAAAAATAAAAATTCCCCACGTTTAACATTGGTTGATATTAACCGAAATCAAATTCATACTAGTGTTACCAACCAAAATATTAATGGTATGTTTCAAAATAATATATTTGATAATAATTAATACCTAATAATTTGCTAATTATAATCTTTAATATAGTTATTTGATCTTCATGAAAAGACGCATGATCAAACCATGGCTATGTTTCAAAAACAAGAAAGAACTATAAACCAAATGCAAACACAAGTTAAACAAATTAAATCTATAACTGAAAAATTGGAAAGTATTATAGAAGGGAAGAAAAAGTCCGAGTGGTGGGAGGTATATACATTTGTAAAACATATTTTTTTATGTTCTATTTTAATTTTTATTTATATGATAGCAATTTGTGGAATATGGAGTTAAAGAAATAATAAATGACTGCCTATATCCAAAGGAAGAAACACTTTCATTGCATATTAAAAAACATTTAGCAGTAATGGCTCCTGAAAAAATGCAAAAATATGAATAACTGACTAAATGGAATGTCTTGTGGCGAAGAATTGAAGAAAAGGTAAATTTAAGGTTTTTTTATCTTTTTATTTATTCATATATTATACTAATAATTGTACAATTATAATAATTATTTAGGTTGGTTCATATTGTTATTCATATTGCGGAAGCTTATTTGGAACAATACGTTGGCATATGTGGTCATGTTTAAAAGGTCAATTAGAGAAAGTAGATACATCATCAGCAGTTATATTTTTTATAGAATTTATGTAATATCTATAATCCTATATATATCCAATATAAATTTTTTATATAAATTTTTATAGGTCTATAATACACATATACATTTTATTTGCTTTTTATTTAAATATAGAAATATTATAAATATTTTATATAAACTTTGTGTAAATATAAAACTATTTAAATATAAGTTTATTTGTAATTTATAGTCAAATAAATAATATGCAAGTATTAAATATAAAATTATATAGATATAGAATTACTTAAATATAAGTTTATTTGTAATTTATAGTTAAATAAAAATTATGCAAGTATTTTATATACTAACTATATATGTATATAATTAGATACGTGTTTTATATAAAATTTTCATATAAATTTGTATAGGTTTAAAAAATATTTATATATTTTATTTAATTTTCAAATGAGTATAAAATTATAATAATTACCTAAATATAATATATATAATTTGTATCAATAATAACATATATAACTGTTTTAAAGATTTACAAATGTATTTATATAATATGAATCAACTTTTTCAAATTGTGGAATAACATGAACTATTTCATTAATTGATTCAATCGGAATCAAATTATACAAATTAGTCATTTTCATATATGGACAATCTAATCTAAAATGTTTAGACTAAATTTTCAAATCATACCACCGAATTAAAGCCAATTTTAAACCTTCATGATTATTATTTAAAAATACCTGTACAAGCAAAAGAACCTAACCATTTAATAATTGTTTGTTAATTCATTCAATTGTTGTTAATTAATTTTATAATAAAAATTTCTATATTTTTACCTTAGCAAAGCATGAATTATCATATGTTACAAATTCTTCTAATTGGCTTTCATCAATTTCAATTGATATATCGTTAAACATTGGTAAATTATTATAAGATAATGTTGCTCAAACAAATTTGCCATTAGTTAAACGTACTGATTCATAAAGTGAAATTATTGCTGTTTCCATCATGTCAATAATATTACCCTCGTCATTTAAATCAGGCATTATTTTCAAATATTCACTCAATGCTTCTAAAAAATGTTCTAATCCATCAATAATTTCTGGTGGGCCTTCTCTTACTTTCAATTCATTAACTGTAGTTTCAATGAGTCGGAATGGTATATTATTGTAATTTTTATATAAAATTACTTCATTAGATTGGTAAAAATGACGTGGTTTATTGAGAAATATTGTCTTGTATACTTCTTGTAAAGTTAATTTTCGCATAACCTGTTTTCACATTAAAAAAAAATTAAAAAGTTACATTCAAAATTAAATAAAATTATATTTTTTTTTTTGTAAATTGATATTTACAGTTCCTAAAATCTGAGGATTAACATTACGCTTATTTGACATACGATAAGGATCTTTGATATAGGCTTTATGTAAAAACTCAAATGTTTCAGCATTCCAACCATTAGGTGAGCCATAATCTTTAATAGCAGAAATCATATGATAAAGAAAATGATGAAGCTTTGGATACTGGCATTGATTATTAGAATAAGAACCAATTAAAACAACTTTGCTAACAATGCTAAATTTTCATAATGCATTGTGCAATCATTGTACAAGTCTTGTACAAGGTATTTTAAATCTGAAAATATATAGTACGATATTTCTAACAATACATTTTTAATATTAATTTATTCACAATCAATTGTAAAATATATAATTCTGATACATTTTCCAATGAATCTTAAAATCTTTTACAATGTTTTCACAAGATTTTACTTATATATATATTGTACAAAATATTGTATAATGAATTTTCACAATTAATTATTTATAACATAATCTAATTACCATTAACGTTAATATATACTAGGTGTATAATCTAATTACATTAAAAACCCTACGGGCTTTTCGTAAAATTTATATATTAAAAATATAAAAAAAAAGAATTCAAATTTCGGAGAAACCCCTATGGCCCTATTTATATAAAATTATGTATCACGTGCATGTGATATAATCCGCAGTTCAATGACTTCGATCA